GAGTAGAAAGAGGATTAGAGGAACTTCTCCCATTATTCGGGGATTGAGTACCTACCTGGGACGCGAGCTCCCTGAGAAGATGATAAAGGAGACTGTGTATTCAGCCCCTCTAGAGAGTGAGGACCTTCCTGTGATCGAGTATCTACTTGACCAGTTGGTAATGGAGACTGTGTGTTCTGCCCCTCTAGAGGTTAAAGACCCTCATGTGATCCAGTATTTACCTGTGGTGAATCATTGACAAGGCCCGGAGTAGATGGTATAGGCCCCATGTTTACTTGAGACTGTGTGTTATCAAGTAGCTGATTATTAGGGCCCTCTTGTGATTGAGCGTGAGGGTCCTGAGGAACCTCACTCTGACCAAGAACCGAGGCCAAGTGGTCATCTAAAGCAGTATCAAAATCCTGGGCGGTAGCCCCTTGGGCCAGCTCAGGTTCCTGGTCATTTTGAATATGGGCCTCTTGAGCCTGTTCTGTAACCTGTTCATCTTGCAAAAGATTAAAAGCATTGCTAGTAAAGATAGGGGCAGGAGGCGGGGGTTGGGAACGTGGCAATCCCAGCTCAGGTGCAGCACCTGAAGTGCCAGGCATATCCCTAACTTGGGGGACTAAGAACGTCACATGATCTCGTCCCCGATCAATAATCGAGTCTTTTCCCTTATCTTGTCTCCGTCTTTTAGATGTATATCTCCTTTGACGTTGATTCCAACCTGCATTTTCCTGAGCTGCATTGTTCTGAGCAACCGGGGGCCGACCAACCCCACCTCCTAACCCCTGATTGCCACCACCAGACGGCGGTGGGGCACGAGGGGCCGGAGGCGGATTAGAGGGGCCTCCGCCACCACCACCGTCTGGTGGGGGTGGGCCTGGTGGTCGGCCTGGTGGTGGGTGGCCGTGTGGTGGTTCGCCATGACCACCAGCCTGACCTGGAGGCCTAACTCCAAAACGACATGCTGGGGCGAAGTGCCCTTGTTTCCTGCAGGTTAGACAATAAGGTGGAACTTTCTCATATTCAATAGTTTGCCAAAATCCATCATCTTCCTTACCTGGTTTCTTACTACCCATTCTGATAAACATTCTAGTCTTAAGTGGCTGAAGGAGGTCAACCTCTACCTTAACCTTAGCCACATTAGGCCTAGAAAATTTAGCAGTTGCAGCATCAACGTGTAAAAAGCGGCCAATTGGCTTAACAATTTGTTTCAAGCATGGAATAGAAAAACACTTTGCTTTTAAATTAGGCAATAAAACCCACACAGGGGCCAGAGATGTTTCAAAATGAGTGTCAAAATCTACAGTCTACCTGAACAAACGCATAGAATTTTTACCATTAAAAGAAATTTGACCCTTAACTAAAATGTCCACACAATCATCTGGATGTGAAAAGGCCAAAAACACATGTCTATGGTCCATTAGACCAATTTCAACTGTACCACGAAGCACAAAAGTTTTTGCAAAATAGGAGCGTATTTCAGATAGGGGTGGTCTACCATGAGAAAATTTACCAACTAGCATAATATTTTCAATTTTATTCATTTGTTGGATTTCACTATCCTCAAAGGTAATGCATGGTTCACCACGGTGCATTTCTACAATTTTTTCAGAAATAATAGGAACAGGAATTGGACTTGAAATTGACACATTATGTCCACCCGAATTTGAAGCAGTAAACAATTGAGCAAAGGATCGAGATTGCGTACCTGGAACCTGCGCATTTGATCGCCAAGCCGGGCCGCCTTGAGCCATGCGTATTGGAGCAGAAACATTATTTCTCAAATTTGCATTGCTTGGAACTTGTGTAGGCACGTGTCCTCTAGCCACATCATTAGGCAATTGGTTTGCAATATTAATGTGGCTATTTGTGACAGTAGCTCCACCATGTGTATCTCGTGGCACAACCCTTGAGACATTTGCATCACCACTTACGGCCAAACCATTACTATGTGGATTCACATCCCCAACAGTACTAGGTAGTTGGCCATTTAAATCAACATTAAAAGTGGGACTAACATTAACAGTATTGGAATTCAAGCCATGCATAGCACGTGGCAGCACCACCTCACCACGCACTGCCACTCCACTACTTAGCACCTTTACTCCAGAAGAATTAACAATAGGGACATTCCCTCCCATTAAATTCGATGAAATAGGCAAAGTAGTAGCATCAGTTATATTTAAGTAATTTAAGTTAGGCACAATTGCGGTTGTGGCATTTAATGAAGCATAATCATTACTGTCCCTTATATTAACATCATTGCCACCCAGGTTAGAGCTAGCAAAAGTAGTAGCCACTGTCGTGGCATTTTCATTGCCCACCCAAGTGGCATTATTAACATGAGGAACAGAGCTAGTTCTAGGATTATTAACAATAACATTAGGCAAAGTGTAACCATCACCGCTTCCCATTAAATTCGAAGATAATCCATGCATATTAATTGAATTCAAGCCAACATTTGAACCAGTAGGACCAATAACATTATTATTAGCCAAATTATTATGGCCACCATCAGTATTATCATTAGCATTTGCACATGTATGTAAGGGATTAACATTCTCATTAGCAATAGATGCAGTGCTACCTAATAAATTCATACCAGTAAGCTCTGGAGTCAAATTAGTTCCAACATTTGCATTCGAATTATCATTATCATTCAAGCCATGCAAATTAGAACCAATATTCATAGATGAGAAAGCACTACCAGTAACCTGACCTGGTTGGATTGTGGCGTCACTCTGTGGGGCCATGTGAGCAGCTTGTTGTCTCTCAAAATGGGTTGACACCCCAGCTGAGACAACTCCAAAAATGCCGCCATCACCACCCATGCTACTAGCTTGATGATGTCGAATGCCACCAGAATGATGAGGTGATGGTACGGCATCGGCATCTTCCCTTTGTTGATGCATGAGATTCAACAGTCCCCTAACAGGGGTGCTAGTGGGAGGTCCTTGTGCAGAAGAGAACATAAATGGTGGGGGGAAGGCCGCCATCTCAGCAGGGAGGACCGCCGTCGCGGCCTGAGTGCCAGATGTAGACACCCCCGTCGCTGGCGATTGATTCGTTTGCGGCATGGACAACACACGCGTACCTGGTCGCATCTCCGATTGAGGATGAACGCGAGTGGCCTGAGAGATATCGCGATGGAGTCGCGATGGCCCAGGGTGTAGATTGGCGGTCTCTATTCTCTTGACCGCCGATGGAGGAAAAGTGAAGCCGACGCGCTGGAGCTCTGCCAGGCAGCAACGCACTATTTCGCCGGCATCACCAGGTTCTGGTGGAGGGTCATCACCCTCCATGATCGCCTCACAACCAGAGACGGTCACTGATCTTCAATCGGCGTCGAGAAAGGGGCTTGCGAAGTTACGTAAGGAGGTCCGCGAATTGTCTCGCAAATCGCCGTTTTCGCCAGAGCTAGAGGAGAGAGAAAGTTTCATTGTGGGGGGTTTGGTTTAGGGCTTAGGGTTTTTTTTTTTATTTTTTTATTTTTTTTTTTTTAATAAAAATTACAAACGAAGGCCCCCGGGGCTATAACATGCGTGGCCCCAAGTCCTATGCTAGTCATATAGCTAACACTAGACCATAGGCTAGGATAAAATACTAATAAAAGCTACTAAGTAAAAGGTAGACTGCACAGCTGCTCGAAAGGATGTAAATGCAAATGTAGCTCATCAGCGCCACAGTCCACCATATAACCGTGTAGACGGATGACAAAGGGAACAGCCACCTTACATGTCACGCGCCATAGCACCTCCCTGCCAGCTGCACCATAGCGTCCCAGCACTATGATGCAATCCGACCGGCCTGCAACCACTACCGCAACTCCTGGGGTGCTATTGACTGCCCTGTTAAAAGCAACAATACACTTGTTCCCGGCTAAATATAAAGTTTTTTTTACCCATACAGAAATATCGGCACACAGGCCTCAGTCAAAGATAACATTAATACAGAACGGATCACAGGCCTAAACTCCGGCACACCGGCCAATGCAACATAAAAGGCAGCCAATAGCATCAACCCCCGATCAGCACCAGCAACAAACCAGAACCAACCCTAACGGGATTAGCTACTATGGGCCAGCAGCAAGCCTGGACTACCGCCAACGGATTTGAAAAACCCCTACCCGGCCACCGTTCAGCCCGGGCCAGGGTGCAATTTCTTACCGCTTGCACCAACGTTGAGGCCTGGTCTATCTCAAAAGATGCCTGCAAAGGCGAAACCAAAGAAGCCTATAGACCAGTCAAGTGCCTCGGAGGCCAAAGAAGCAACCTGCAGGAGATAGGAACATGATAGAACAAAAAGAACATCCTGCTCCCTTGACCCCAGCTATTTCCAATAATTTACATAAGGTGAGTGTATAAGGTATTAACAAGCCGACGCGAACAAACAGCAACCCCCCAAATAAGACCCGTCCCCCCCCGGAGTCCAGAAGGAACTCGGCTACTATTGGCCAGCAGCAAGCCTGACCAGGTCAACGGATTTGATTAGTCCTGCCTGGTGCACCGTTCAGCCCAGACTAGGGTGCCATGTTGTACCGCCAACACCTTACGTTGAGGCTCAGTCCCGACCAGCAGAACCTCATCGCCTCCAAGTCCCGTCCCCCCCGGGGCCCGGAAGGGACTCGGCTACTATTGGCCAGCAGCAAGCCTGACCAGGTCAACGGATTTGATTAGTCCTGCCTTGTGCACCGTTCAGCCCAGACTAGGGTGCCATGTTGTACCGCCAACACCTTACGTTGAGACTCGGTCCCGACAAGCAAGACTTCATAGCCTCCAAGAACACCTCACACACTCTCTGTTTTTAGCTCACCTCAACTCTTTCTTTTCCATTTTGTATTCCCTCATTTTACCACTCTTTCTTTCTCTCATCATCTTTTCCCCACATTTCTTTAATTCCTCATTTCTCTTTTTTCTGTTTTTTCTTTTTCATTTCTTTCTTTTTTTTCTCTAATAAAATTTTCTTTTCTGTTTTTTCATTACAAATAGTGATACAATTCATCAAAGCAAAGAAGCTCAAGGCGGGTCGTAATCATCAAAAACCACCGATGGGATATCATCATGAACCAGCAACGCACGCACCCTCGGTGGTAAGTCTGACAAATTACGAAAAATAAACTCCCCATCCTTGTCCCCAACCCAATCTGCCAATGCAGCCACCGGGAGATTACCCTGTGGCAAACACTGGAGAACAGAAACAGACGCACAGGAACAAAGAAACCGGAGTCGTGACACTTCAGAGTCAAAGACCCATGGACTAGGTGTAGTGGGGTCTAGATAACCCTTAAGCTCAGGCAATACAGACTCTAGGACTAGGGACCTAAAACCCTCAGCTAAACACCATTCAAGAGAGCGGTGCATAGCATGGAAAAAGTCCCGAAACCCGTCGACTGCCGAAATGGCTAAGCCGTAGCAGAAGCCACCTCCCCGATTACGTACCAAGGCAGCAGTCCCACCCAACGACTCAGAATGTGCAAAATTGAGCTTTATAGAACCATCCGGAGGGGGATCCCATCTAACAGCGCGATCCACGCGTCGCGGTGCAGTGGAATCTATGTAAGACAGAATGACCGGCCAATTTGGTGGCAAGATGTGTTCCTGCGGCCATCGCCTAAAGAGACATTCTGCCACCCCTTTGGCAACGCCATACACCACTCGAGATACACTGGGCGACGCTCTGCCATGTAAGCATGTGTTCCTGTGCTTCCATAACTCCCAAAGGATAAGATAAGGCAACCTGCAAATTACAAAAGCAACAAGACGGTTATGCGAAACCACTCGCTTCCACCCAGTCAAGAGCGTCCGTAGACCCCGATGACTGAACCGCAAGCCGAGTGATCCCATAAAAAATCCCCATACAGCCCTAGCAGTGTCCCCCGCATAAAAGATGTGATCAATAGTTTCCCTAACAGGGTTATTGCAGCACCAGCATCTGGAAACAATAAGGTGCCCAAACCTAGCCATGGCATCATCAGTGGGCAAGCGACCCCTTAACACATGCCAAGCAAGAAATGACACCTTAAAGGGCAAATGCTTATGCCAACATGCACTCAAAAGAGGATCCGAGTGCATCGGCTCAGGTCTGAACAAAGATTTTGCAGATGAAAAGGAAAACAAACCGTCTGTAGCCACCCGTCAAATGGGGACGTCAGCTACTCTTTGACCAAGGCGGGACATGTCAGCCTCCAATCCAGGCGGCAGAAGATCATCATACGGTGAAAGGTCCAACTCCCCGTTCTGAATGAAATCAGACAGTAGATCACCAGAGTACTCCACCCCCGGGAAGGGGTAAAGGCGCCCTAGCGTGTCAAGGCCGGACCAGTTATCCCACCAGAGATTAACATCCCCATGAGTCAGGCGCCAACCTAAGACTGCCTCTACCTCATTCCTGACGCTGAGCATTCGCTTCCAGGTGTGTGAATCGGAGCTTTGCACTAGTTTCGCCACCGGGTGAACTCGACTACAGTACTTAGCAGTCATGAAACTCCCCCAAAGTGAATACACCCTGCGGAAATTCCACCAAAGCTTTGCACTAGATGCCCGCACCATCAGGTCAAGATCCAGGAATCCCACTCCACCCTCTTTTTTAGGTAGGGAGAGCGTTTTCCATGAAGCCCAATTGTAGCGTGCACCTCCCGACTGCCTCCAAAAGAAGGCGGCAAAACACCGCTCCAGGTCCCGAATAACTTGCTTAGGAGGAGCACAAGCTGCAAAAAGATGTAAAGGAATAGCCTGCAAAACAGAAGTAATTAAAATTGCTTTCCCCCCCTTAGATAGCAGCCGACGCTGCCACCCAAGGCATTTGGCCTTTACCTTGTCCACCACAGATGAAAAATAAACACACTTCTTCCTCCCCACATAAATAGGGCACCCAAGATAGGTGAAAGGGAAGGTTCTATGAATGCATCTAGTGATGTCCCCAATCCTACGAAATACCCGATTCGAGGTGTCAGGATGCATATAAAAAGCACTCTTAGGGAAGCTGACCATTTGGCCAGAAATCCCCTCATAATCCTTTAAAGCACGAATAACTTTGCAGATTGCCCCCTGTCTCCCTGTACTAAAAATAATAACATCGTCAGCGTAAGCTAAGTGATGAATATGGGGAGTACCAGGAGGCTGAGAGAATCTAGGGACAGCCTTGTCCTGATGGACTCGTGCGAGGAAAGTAGAGAGTACCTCTGCAGCAATTATGAAAAGACTAGGGGAGAGTGGGTCTCCTTGCCTCAATCCACGGGACGAGGTAAAGAAACCCTCTTTGACCCCATTGACAATGACAGAGTACCACACATTAGAAACAGCACGATAAACCAAGTCAATCCAAACTTCAGAGAATCCCATCTTACGCATCACAGAGACAAGGAAAAACCAGGATACCTGGTCATAGGCCTTAGCCATGTCTAGCTTCAGCACTACATCCTGGTTTCCTAACGCAATACCATGGCACATCTCAGAAGCAAGTAGGATATTATCAGTGATTGACCGCCCCGAGACGAAACCACTTTAATGAGGAGACAGCAATCTCGGAAGAACAGAAGCCAACCTGACTACCATTAACTTAGTGACAATTTTACTACTAAAATTGCACAAGCTAATTGGCCTATAGTCAGCAAATGTCTCCGGGCTTGCTTTTTTGGGCAATAGCACAATAGAGGTGTGAGTAATAGACCTGGTGAACTCCCTACCAAGGAAGTAACTCCTGACCATATTAACCACATCCCCCTTAACAATTTCCCAACAGGATTTATAGAACGCCCCAGAAAACCCGTCAGGGCCTGCGGCACTAACGGAATTCATGGCAAACACAACATTTTTAACCTCATCCTCCTCAGGGGTAGATATAAGCATAGCATTCTCATCATCAGTAACCAGACGCTGTACACAGTCCAGTTTTGACAAATCGAAATTACCTGCCTCCGCAGTAAATAGTCCTTCAAAAAAGGAGACAGCATTTTGCGCTATCCCCTGTCTATCCTCAATCCATTGTCCTGTATCATCTTTTACCTTATGAATATAGAGTTTCCTTCTTCGCTCTTTTACCATCGAGTGAAAGAACTTAGAGTTCCTGTCCCCCTCCTGGACGGCCACCATGTGAGCCTTTTGTTGCCAATATTCTTCTTCGATGGATATCTGTCTTTGCAAAAGAGCAACGCTCTCCTTATAGTCAATGAGTGCCCTATCATCATCTGGATTCTGTTGTAACACCTCTTCTAACGCCTGTACCTTATCTTCCAATTCCTGCAACTTAGAAAAAATATTACCAAAGGTTTCCCTACTCCAAGGAGCAAGGGCCTTCTTTAACCTGGACAGCTTAGTAGCCAAGACATATATTGGAACACCCTCAACAGGCACTTCCCAACTATCTCTAACCACACGCTGAAAATCCTCGTGTTTGGTCCACACATTAAGAAAGCTAAAGTGTTTTGGAATAGGTTGGGCAGTTATAACTTCAGAAGTAACAAGTAACGGACAGTGGTCAGACGTGGTCCTAGACAAATGCATAACGGATGTCCTGAAAAGCGATTCCCACACTGAAGTGTAAAGAAATCGATCCAAGCGCATCCAAATGGCAGCGTCCTTACGCCTCCCATTCCACCAAGTGTAAGGGGAGCCGTAGGCAGACGAGTCAATCAGATCACACGCACTGACACATTTTCGAAAATCAGTAGTCTTCCTATGAGAATAAGGAAGACCCCCTTTTTTCTCGTCCACATTTAACAAACAGTTAAAATCCCCCACCACAGACTAGGGAACGCCGGCAGGGATCCTATTTGAGACTGCGAGTAGTTCATCCCATAAAGGAACCCTTAGGCGGTCCCTAGTCTTAGCATACACAAATGAAAGCCAGAAAGCAGAAGGAATAGTAGCATGACCACAAGAGACAGATACCGATTGATCAGAATCAGATTCAAAATTCAAAGCAAGGTCAGAGTTCCAAAATAGCCATAACTTGTCATTAACCCCTGCAAAAGCAAAGTCAAAGCCAAGTCGCAGTTTAAAGCCATCCAACCTATCATTACTACAAAACGGTTCAAGGATGCATAAAATAAAAGGCTTATGTTTTCTGAGCAGCAGATGAAATCTCTGAAACGAGCCCTGCGAGGCAATACCCCGCACGTTCCAAATAAGGAACTGCATCATCAAAAGGATGGGGACTGAGTAGAGCTAGGCGTGCCTAAGGCCGCACTACTCCGCTCTAGCTGTACCTGAGATGTAGTGTACTTGCCACCAAAGGGCACGCGAGTGGTCCTAGGGGGCGAGGCATGGCCCACCAGCTGCTTATTTTGCCCCACAGACTCAAAGGTAGCAACTCTACCAGCGACGGAAGAATCACTATCATCATCATCAGACGCCTCGCGGTAGAACCCTAAACCCTAAACCCTAAACCCCATTAGGGTTTTTTTTTTTTTTTTAGGGTTTAGGGTTTTTTTTTTTTTTTTTTGAGATTACATCAGATGCCTCCGCAGAGGCTCGTTACAATTGGATGGCTCCTGGAGTCGCTTAGTTCATCCCGGTGCTGTGGGTTCACCTCGTTTCGCCCAAGGCCCGGGGCATGGGCCCCTGGTTGTTACGCCTGGTGCCGCCTATGTGTCGCCTAGATCACGGCTCGCAGGGTTCCGGCACGTCTCGCAGCGCTTCTCGGGACAGCATGGGTCCCTGTTCCTCCTTGAGTTGTAGAGGACTTGTTGAGATCCCCGGTCCGTACGCTGGGGCTCCGTAGACCCTGTAATCCTGTTCTAGGTTATACACGGCGTCACAACGTCAACGTCCCACACAGGTTCTGGTGCCCTGGAATCAGACTTCCCGTTGGTTCCAAGTACCAAGCGTACCAAGTTCTGCCAGGACCATTTTTTATTCAACAGCATTCAATCCGAGCCATGCTTAGGGTTCGGGGGGCTCCGGGCCTATGGTTCGGAGGGCACAGGGCATTTTTTTAGGTTCGGGGGGGGGGAGGGGGCAGGGCCTAGGGTTCGGGGGGCTCAGGGCCTAGGGTTCGGGGGCTCCGGGCCTATGGTTCGGAGGGCACAGGGCCTTTTTTAGGTTTCTAGGGGGGGGGGGGAGGGGGGGGAGGCAGGGCCTAGGGTTCGGGGGGGCCAGGGCCTAGGGTTCGGGGGGCTCAGGGCCTAGGGTTCAGGGGGCTCAGGGCCTAGGGTTCGAGGGGCACAGGGCCTAGGGTTCGGGGGGCTCAGGGCCTAGGGTTCGGGTTTAGGGTTTTTTTTTTTTTTTTTTTTTTTTTTTTTTTTTTTTTAAACTGTGCATTTATTCCATTTCAAAATAAAGAATCTACAAGCATACGCCATAGCCCCAAAAGTGGACTATGGCTCAAGTATGTCCTTGGCCTTTTCGGCCCTAACAAAACAACAGAAAAAAACTCAACTATATACAAGGGGTGGCCCAAAAGTGACCACCCCCATCAAAGTGTAGAGCTCCCAACCATCTAGATCTACTACATCAAAATCATAAAGCCAAAATGGCTCACAAAAGAGATCAAAAGGTAAATTCAAGCTTTGAAAGCCCAAACCTCACCAACTCATCCACAAACATCGTCTGTAATAGGCTCCTCGTCCCACACAAGTGATGGGACTGATGCCTAAGCTCATGGAGATCCAACTATCCTATCCTATCCCTACTACCCTCAAGTCAAAGCCCCATCCCCACCGGCAAGGCGTACCGTGTTTTAGCCCGGGGGGACTTTACGGGTCCCGACTTGAGCGGTAGCACTCACCTCCTTCCACCCTCGTGCCCAAGACCAACCTCCCTCAGCATAGCGTACTATGTTTTGCCCGGGGAGGCTTTTGAGGTCCCGACAGGAGCAATGGCTCCCTCCCCACCACCCTTAGGCCAAAGGCCAACTCCCACGGCACGGCGTACCGTGTTTTAGGCCCGGGGAGCCTTTGCGGCCTCGACCTAAGCGATGGTTATCCACCAACTCACTCCTCCCTATTCTCTCCCTCTTTCTTTCTGCTCTTTTCTTCATTTTTATAAACAAATTCTCTTATTCTTTTTTTCCATTTTCCTTTCCTCCTTGTTTCCCCCTCCTCCTTTCCTTTCTTTTCTCTCATTGTTTTTTG